TTCAGGGTACTTTCCCAAAGACACCCCTGGAGGGCTGTGTGGTCACAGTGCAGGCAGCCTTAGAGAGAGAGAGAGAGAGAGAGAGAGAGAGAGAGAGAGAGAGAGAGAGAGGCCTTTTTGAGGTCAGCCCCTTCCTGGGAGGACACTACCAACAAAGCTCACAGCACCCTCAGGGGCCGGCCCCCTGACATCTGCAGGGGAAACCCCACCCTTAGGGAGAGGAGAAATGAGGAGCTCCCAAGTGTTGGAGGCCTCTGGGTGGGTTCCCAGCAAGGTTCTCCAGCTAGGGTGACTGACTCTCAGAGGTCCTAAGAATTCTGCAGCCACAGCAAGGTGGTGGGGACATGATGGAACATCCCTGTGGTTCGTAAATGACCAGCTAATAGGATTTCCGGCAGACTCAGCCATTCCTCTTGTGGGCACACTGTCCCGGGACGTGAACGCAGGATCATAGAGTTGTTAGAACAAACACATTCTGAGTCACGCTGGTCACAGGAGCCACGAGGTAGACAAGGAGTCGAGAGTCTGGGGTCAGATGAATGGAGAAACACATGGGGGACACACATATGACAGACTGGGATTCTGCCGGAGCAAAGAAGGGAACCTTTGCCACAGGTTACAGCATGGCCTTTGAAGACATTATGCCAAGAAGTGAGTTACAAAAAGACCGGTACTGGGGTTGTGAGGAGGAAACTGATGCCATAACAAGCTGCAGCCAACACTAAGTCTCTGCTAGGCCTCAATTTCTGTTTCCCCAAAGCAGGACTTATAGTTTCCGGTAAACTCCCAGTTGAGTAATTTGCCAAGATAAGGAATTGGGCAGTTGGGTTTGGCCGGTCACGAGGGGTCACTGTACCCTCCTTAGAAACTATTGCTAACCATTGCCTAATTGCTGACCACCATTGTAATAGGGCCAATCAATGTTAAAAACAGATCAATATATAAATAGATTCTTAACTCCGAACCCTATAGAAACTGCTTGTGATTTGGAGTCGGGGTCTTTGTCCAGACTCCACTGTGTTGGATGAGACTTGGACCCTAGCTTGGGCTAGTAACAAAGTTCCTTTGCTTTTGAATTATTGTGTGTGGAACTTGGTCTCTCCACAATTGGGCATCTGAAACTTGGGCATACATAACAGAGGGTAGGAGGAAGGGTGCATGTATCTCACCCGTGCCCAACCTGGCAATCTCTGGTCTCCTGAGTCACCACGAGGATCCGCCAAGACCCCTGCAAGGATTCACAACGTGGGAAGCATCTCCTACATAGCATCGGCATTGGTTTCTGTGCAAATAAAACTTCCTCGAAGCATTCATTGGTTTAGGACCTTTGAGAATAACTCATACAAAAGATTGTGTTTTCTGCCTTGTTCTACAGGACCACCAAGTCTGGGCGGGGTGGGGGAGGGCGTTGGGGAATGCTTACCGCTATACAGTGAGAATATCCAAACAGTTCAGCAGAGAACACTTCGCCAGAGCAAGAGAGAACATGCAAAGAGTTGTAGAGAGAATACTTAAGCGGCGATGTTGTGAACACTAAAGTAGTATGATGTAAAGGACTCAGAGAGGGTGGCGGAGAACACTCAAATGAGTTCTACAGGGAGCATCTGAGCGGAATAACAGAGAACATTCAGAGTCCGGTGGAGAGCACTAAGGCAGTTCCACGAGAACACTCAAGTGGTCAGTGGGAATAGTCAAGTAGCCCTGTGAGAACATTGATGAGGTCCAGTGAGAACCCTCAAGTAGTCTACTAAGAACATTCATGAGGTCCAGAGAGAACCTTAATGTGATCCAATGCGAACCCTAATTTTGTCCAATAAGAGCCGTCAAGCAGAACTGTGAGAACACCCAGGAAGTCCAGTGAGAATCCTCAAGTGGTCCTTGGGACATAAAACTCAATCCATCGGCACAGAAATGGCGCCTCCAGCCAGCCCCTATTAAGCTGGCAGAGCATTGCAGTTCCATTAAAAGTCTCTACCTGCATCTCAGGAAGATTGGAGAACCACAACCTCCAACTCAACTCCTTCTGGGCTGCTGTTTTTCCTCGACCGCCTGTGACAATTGATGCTTCCTCTGTTCAGTCATTGAGTTGGGGGAGTGACTTGCAAGGGTATACCATCACAACACCGTTCTCGGGAGCTGCCCACCCAGCTCCAAAATGCAGGAAGCCTGTGGCGTGGCATTAAGCAAGATGGCCTCTGGGTGGGTGGGTGTGGGTTCAGCATGGTGTCGGGCACCCTTGGGGGGACTGACTACTCCCTTTTATCACCAGTTCTGTGACTGCTGAGAAACTAAGGTGGAGCATGGCATAGAAGGAAAAAGGGACACTTCCCTAGGAGTGACATTAAACAGCATCACTGACCACTCTTCCCCTAGTAATGAAATCCATTTTTGCCATCTGGAAATCATTGCGACCCCTCTTATGCATAGGTGGCACTTGTGTTCCTTCTACCTGAAACACAGGCTTTGGAGTTCATGTACAGAGGGTCTTTATCCTCCCTAGGAAGTTACCAGGGAGTGACTTCTCGGGGAACCCGGAGGGGGGCGGGTGAGGCCCCTCCCTGCCCTATGGGACCTAGCCCTGGCAGCCAGAACCCTCCAGAACTCAACCGCCACCATACTCAAGGCCACTCTGCATGCTCAGGCCAAGCCTCACCCGTGATTAAACTTTCTCCTGGACTACGTGACCACATTCGTGGCAATGTAACATCTTATACCTCACACCGCTAACATTCTAAGAGTAGTGCACCATATTTGGTGCGGTTTAAAGTTGGAGGCAATCAATCTTAGAGTAAAATATATTTTTACAGATATACATCTGTACATATATATATGCACACAAGGCTCAACCCTTAACAACATGTTAGTAATCTCTTATAGAAGGGCTTAATGGCCTCTGAGTGAAATACAACATCTTCACACACTATCCTCTAAGGAAACTTTCTTGGATCACTTTTAATGGTTTTTCATAACAAACAATACAAAACAAATTATCTCGGTTCTGCTTTGGGGCAGGGGTTGGGGTTCAGGATGGAAACATCCAAGATATGGTGATGGGAAAGAGAGTAAGAGGGAATGTGCCTGCCACAGAGGCAGGGGGTGGGAAGGGGTGGGGGGGTGGCGGGAGGGACACTGGGAACATTGGTGGTGGAGGGATGGGTACTCAAACATTGATGGAAATGTAATCACGAAAATTTGTAAGTCTGTAACTGTATCTCACGGTGATTCATTAAAATTCATTAAAATTAAAAAAATTAAAATAATTTTTTTTAAATGGCCCATAACAGGGCCCTGGGAGTCAGCTGCATGAAAGGGCACCTGCTTTGCATGCTAGCATGCTTGAAGAGCCCACCTGGGCCGGCTTTCCTGTGCCACCAGGTGGCCGTTCGGTCATCTGACCCTACCACCAGCAGTAAATTAACAATGACTGAAAACGCACTAGGTAGGAGGCAGGCTTGGGAGGCGGGGGGCTTTTTGGAGCATCCCATTTAATACTCTACGAAGCAGGTATTAACTGTGCAAATGTAGTGGCCAACCCCACCAGAGGTGGTGGCCTATGAACATGTGGCCTGTTCATACTTGCGATTCCTCTCCAGGGAACTGGGAGAAGCAGGATGTGTGTGTGTGTGTGTCTGTGTGTCTGTGTGGGTGTATGCATGTGCACATGTGTGCGTGTGCATGTGTGTGTGCATGTGTGTGCATGTGTGTGTGCATGTGTGTGCACGTGTGCGTGCGTGTGTGTACGTGTGTGTGTCATTGTACGCGTGTGTGTGTGTGTTCAGTGCACACTCAAGCCTGCGTGCATCCTTGAGGGTGCTGAGGGAGACAAGGAGAAGTGGACAATAAATCTTTCTAACGCACAGAGTTACTAAGTAAGAATATTATAACGGGGGTGGGAGGGGTGAGGGTAGGTTAACAAGTCCTAAAGGCTCCAAGGACCATGGAGATAAACAACAAAGTCTTCAGGTCTGAGTTTTCAGAACTAGGGTCCGAAAGTGAGAGGAAGGCGCATGGGGTCTGCTCCCCAGAGCCCCCACTCCCGGAGCCCCTCACTCACCCTGCAGTCTCGGCCTCTCACACTATGGGCTGAGTTCCCACATGGGGGAGGGAGGTCCAAAATACTTAAATTTAAAAAAATCTATTTCTTCATGGTTTACTCTCAGTAAATGCTGGATTCTTATATCTACTTTATATACCTACACACCCAGGGCTGTATAAAAATTTCTCCAGCCAAAAGAGATCCTGGTATAGAACAAAAGGGAATGGCCCTGCCACAGAGGCAGGGTGGGATGAGGGGGTTGGGGGGGTGGGAGGGATACTGGGATCCATGGTGGTGGGCAATGGGCACTGCTGGAAGGATGGGTACTGGATCATTGTATAACTGAAACCCAAGCACAAAAATTTGTAAGTCTACAACTGTACTTCATGGTGTTTCACTAATAAAAATTAAGAGAGAGAGAGAGAGAGAGAGAGAGAGAGAGAGAGAGAGAGAGAGAGAGAGAGAGAGAGAGAGAGATCCTGGTATAAGTCATCCAGGAAAGGAAGGTGCAGAAATTCTGAACTTGTCCTCAAGACCACCAAGAAAGAGGGCAAAGTTCCTTCATGGGACTCAGTTCTTTTACCTCCATTTGTTTTTGGCTTTTTTGGGTCACACTCAGCAATGCTCAGGGGTTACTCCTCACTTTGCACTCAGGAATCACTCCTGGCGCTGCTGGGAGACCCTGTGGGATGCTGGGAATCGAACCAGGGTTGGCAGTTGTACAAGACAAACACCTTCCCGGCTGTGCTATGACTCTGACCCCTTCGCCCCATTTCTTAGATGGCAAAACCAAGGCTCCTGGAGGCCAGCAGATGTGTCAAGCTCGTTAGCAAGTGAGTCAGGCCGTACTGGCATGTCCCGGGCTCTAGGACAGGAGAGAAGGGGTATTGGGGTTGGGGTAAGCGGGTGGTGACTGGGGCATTGGACACCCCTCACCCACCCACCCACCCACCTCTCCCTTTACCTCGCACTTCTCCACCACCGGCTGCTGCCCGCACTCCGAGCTGTTGCCCGCCACGATGCCCGCGCGCAGGTTCTCGCTGTCGCCCGTGCCCTCCTCCACCGAGTAGGTCCTGGAGTGGTTGCCCCGGCGGGGCGCGGGGGCGCGGCCCTGGGCCAGGTGCAGCTGCCGGCGCAGGGCGCGGTTCTCTTCCTCCACCTCGCGCACTCGCACCTCCAGGCTCTCCCGCTCGCGCTGGCTGGACGCCGTGTACCGGGGGCTGTGCGCCTGCGGCTCCAGGGGTGCCAGGGATACTGGCTTCCCATCTGCGGGGGCGAGAGGGGGTGAGAGAGTAGAGGATGGTTAGTTGGGAGGACGGTGATGCTGCCTGCCCGCGCCCACCCGGGCACAGGTGCCCCCGATTCCCATGACGCTGGGGTTGCTGAGTCTATCAACATTGGTGCCCCCAATACCCATGACGCTGAGGAGGTGAGTTTATAGCACTTTCTTAAAAATCTCAGGGCTAGGATGAAGGAGACGTTACTGGGGCCCGCTCGAGGCAATCGACGAATTATCAACATAGGTGCCTCCAATACCCATGACACCGGGAAGCTGAGTCTATCAACATAGGTGCCCCGAATGCCCATGACTCTGGGGAGGTGAGTTTATCAATACAGGTGCCCCCAATACCCAGGACCTGGAGAGCTGAGTCTATCAACATAGGTGCCCCCAAATACATATGATGCTGGGAAACTGAGTATATCAACATAGGTGCCCCCAACACCCATGACTCTGAGGAGGTGAGTTTATCAACATAGGTGCCCCCAATACCCATGATGTTGGGGAGGTGAGTATATCAACACAGGTGACCCTGATAGCCATGATGCTGGGGACCTGAGTATAACAACATAGGTGCCCCCAATACCCGTGACTCTGGGGAGGTGAGTTTATCAATACAGGTGCCCCCAATACCCATGATCTGGGGAGCTGAGTATATCAACATAGGTGCCCCCGATATCCATGATGCTGGGGAGCTGGGTTTATCAACACATGCCCTGCTCGGGGAGAAATGACTCACTGGGCGGATGAGAGCCAACAACTGTCCAGAGAAGAGTATTCAATGTAAAGTTTTTTTGCTTTTTGTGTTTTGCTTTTTGGGTCACACCCGGCGATGCACAGGGTTTACTCTTGGCTCTGCACTCAGGACTCACTCCTGGTGGTGCATGGGGGACAACAGGGGATGCTGGGAATCAAACCCGTGTGCAAGGCAAACACCATACCTGCTGTGCTATGACTCAGGCCCCCGATGTAAATTTTCCTAACTAACTGCATATAATTCTTGTCTCTCTGCTTTTTGGCCATCTGATGGACACACATTCTCATTCATAAAGCTTTGTGGATATGAAAAGAGTGAAGAGGGACTGGAACAACAGTACAGGGGGAGGGCATTTGCCTTGTATGCGGCCGACCCAGCTTCGATTCCCAGCATCCCACAGGGCCCCCGAAGTAATTCCTGAGTGCATGAGTGCATGAGCCAGAAGTAACCCCTGTGCATCACTGGGTGTGACCCGAAAAGAAAAAAAAAGAGTGAAGAGGAGGAGGAACAGAAAACAGATAGGGCATAGGAGAATGAAGAGAAAGAAGTGGAAGAAGGCGAAAGGGAAGAGACGGTGGAAAAGAAATATCACTCGCGATCAAGTTGATTTAGCTCTTCCTTTGCAAACTCCTATTCATCCCTCAAAACCCCGTTTCAGAAGGATCATCTCCCATCTCCTTTCCTCAACTTTTGGGTAAAACATACTGTCGTGAAACACGCAACCACATTTTTTTTTTTAGGGTATCATCCTGAGAGAGGCCAGAATACCACCAGGCTGTATTTGGTAGGTGGTTCAACCGAAAGATTTCTGGGAAGATTGATCGCACCGTGAAGAAACAGATCAGGTCTCGCTGATCTGGGTGGGGAAACATAGCCGACTATCTGATGACATGCTGGCAGGGGAGCGGCGTCTGTCACGCCAAGAGAAGCATGATGAAGGGCGATGAAGAAGGAGGAAGCAGGAGGCCAATCAATCTCTTCAGTTTCCCCGGGGGGGGGGGGGGGGAACAATGCTCCTTACAACTCATTTCCAGCCAGGCTCTGATTAGTGGTCGGACACTGAGGTGGAAGAGATGGCTCTCGAGAAGCCTCCCAATCAGAGGCAGAGTCCATCCCAGGGCCCCGCCCGCCTGTAGACCCCCTGTGGCCTGCTGGTCCCTTGAAGGCAGTCCCCTAGGATGTTGCTCCCTTGCTGACGTGTGGGCACATGCCCTGTGGATGTCCAGGCCACAGACAGGAGCCAATCCCGGCCACACTCTCTCCTCCCGATATGTGTAATTCCTGTGATGCAGTTCAATTTAAATCTTCGGCGCTGCAAGAGAGTAGCGACTTCGGGAACAGAACAGTGATCTATGCTAGAAGCACAGACACATGCCTTGTTTCTCAGGACGGCTCACTGAGCACGGTCTTTTCAGATGGTGTGGGGTTCGACCACAGGCTGCAGGAACTGTTAAAATGAAACTGGGGATACGGCGGGGACTTCTAGACAGAGGCATGTTTTGTACAAAGAACTGAGCTTGCTGGGGCTGGGAGACAGCAGTGTGTGTGTGTGTGTGTGTGTGTGTGTGTGTGTGTGTGTGTGTGTCCCCGTCCCTAAAACAATGGAGGGTGGAAATAGACACTTTACTCTGGTGGAGGGTGTGGGCTTACAATACATGAAATCCTACCATGAGCACTACTGTCAATCACAGTGATCAAGAAATAAAATAAAAGTACAAGGGGTAGGGCTGAACAAACACAGTGGCCTCTTAGCATCTGTATTGTGAACTATAATGCACAAAAGGAAGAGAGAGAGAGAGAGAGAGAGAGAGAGAGAGAGAGAGAGAGAGAGAGAGAGAAAGTGCCTCACATAGAGGGTGGCTGGGGTGGGGGGTGGGGTGTTGGGGGGTGGTAGGAGGGAGACAGGGGATGTTAGTAGTAGGAAATGTACACTGGTGGAAGGATGGGTGCTGGATCATTGTATGATGGAAACCCAATCATCAACAGCTTTGGCATGGTCTATCTCATGGCTATTCACCATCACGATCACGATCATCCTGTTGTTCATTAATTGCTTCGAGCAGGCACCAGTAACGTCTCCTTCGTCCTAGCCCTGAGAAATGCTCTTTCAGACTTAGGAGAATGAGACCCATCATTGTTACTGGTATTTGGCATATTGAGTACACTATGGGGAGTTTGCCAGACTCTGCCGTGCGGGCAGGATACATTCGGTAGCCTGCCGGGTTGTCCAAAGTAAGAACGAGATAATAAGATGTCGTTCACTAACCTGTGGATTATAGAATAATGTCAGGGATGGAAGGGATCAAAAGTGGGCAGACTCACTCCTTTGTGGAATATAAAATGACATAATATGAGACTGACACCCAAAGACAGTAGAGACAATAAAAATTTAAAAAAAAGTAATGTGGAGTTCATGCCCACTTCAGTCAGCTTAATCAATGGCTGAATAAACAGCAGTATTCCTACATAATAAATAAGTAAATTAATTAATTAATTAATTAAAAGGGTTGGGGTTAGCCACACTCAGCAGTGCTCAGGTTACTTCTGGCATTGTGCTCAGGGATCAATCCAGGCTGTGCGTGGGGGAACCAGGGGTGGTCCTGGGAATTAAACTAGGGTTGACCCCCACATGCAAGGCAAGTGCCTTAACCCCTGTATGATCTCCATGCACTTAAGACATTTACTTTTTTTTTCTTTTGCTTTTTGGGTCACACCCGGTGATGCACAGGGATTACTCCTGGCTCTACACTCAGGAATTACTCCTGGCAGTGCTTGGAGGACTCTATGGAATGCCAGGGATCGAACCCAGGAGGGCCACGTGCAAGGCAAACACCCTCCCCGCTGTGCTATTGCTCCAAACCCAAGACATTTACTTTTGAAAGTCATGTAAAAACCTTTTTCTCTCCCAGATACCTTCTGTCTTGTGGACAGCAAGTGCTCAACACCTGCTGACTGTGACGAGCCCCCTTACCCCACCCCCGACATGGAGCAGAGCCCCTCTCTGTTCCCATGCTGCAGAACCCCCCGGGCCCTCAGAAGACCCAGCAAATGCCACATCCTTCCAAAATAACCCTCACTTAGACGGGTGCATCAAACACGCTTCTCTTGTCCCAGTGTTTCTCCTTCCTGCCCAGATGCTGCTGTGCTTCCAACCCATCCCCGAGACTCTCAGTGACTCACAAAACTTGAGCATCAAAGAGTAGGATGAATGACACCCCACGGGCTTCCCCTGCAGGCAGTGGCCTCCACCAGGGTCTTTTTTTTTTTTTGATGTGCCTGTGTGCTTTCACAAACACAACTCCTTTCTCCCCGCCTGCCTTTATTACCTTGGGGTTAAACACCCGAGCTCCTGGCCCTCTGCCATTCAGCAGAGAACGGGACTCGCCGGATTCCACTGCCCAGGATGAGATATCAAAGACGCAGACTGATTGTTTGGGGACATGGCTGAGTTCCCGTGGCTGGAGGCGGGTGGGTACCTGTACGGTGCCCACGCTGGCCAATTACCGGCGCCCACCCAAGTTCTGAAAACCCGTCTCCTGTTTGGTCAAACCAAAAGAGTTGCAGCGACAATGGAGAAGAAGGGGCAGCAAAGACAATCATCAAAGGACGTGGACTCTTTTCACTGGGGCTGCATGGGGGCAGCAGGCAGAGTGGCACTCCAGGGAAGCAGCTGGCACATCTGCGCCATGCTGGGTAGTGGGCGATGTCACATGTAGCATATATGTGCGGCCATCCATGCCCCCATTTTGGATTTTTTTGTTTTCTTTTTGGATCACACCCGGCGATGCTCAGGGGTTACTCCTGGCTCTGCACTCAGGAATTACTCCTGGCGGTGCTCAGGGGACCCTATGGGATGCTGGAAATTGAACCCAGGTTGATCGTGCACAAGGCAAAAGCCCTAACTGCTATGCCATTGCTCTAGCCCCCGTGTCCCCATTTTGGATGAGAAAACTAAGAATCGACAGGTTTAGGTGCCGCTTCCATGATGGGGGGGGGGGGGACTCAGAGGGCATCATGGGACACCAGGGAGAATCACTTCCTTCCATCACTGAGTTTGAACTTGTTAGGGGTGGTCCTTCTCCTCTTCCTTCCCCTCTCCTTCTTCTTCCTTCCGAACCAACTCAGCAATGTTGGGGCTCAGGGGACCAAGTGTGATGCTGGGGGATGGAACCAGAGTTGGCCATGTGCCAAGGCAAAAACCTCAGCCCAGCATAATCTCTCTGCCTTCCT